TCTTGCAGATTCTGAATCAATGGCATGATGAGAAAAAGCTGCACAAATTTCAGACTTTTATCTTGAATAGTTCTTGAGCTATCGTTTATATAATTCAAGCACAGCCTCAAATTTCAACATGTCAAAGTGGGTCAAAATATCTGTATTAACATCCTTATTTTAGGCGATAAAGTTTTCATGTAAATCAGAGATGGTTGAGAAGAAATAGTTTTATTAAAAGTAGTTGATTTGAGATTAAACATTACATGCAATAACTCAACGTTCCACAAGGGGGCAGCATCCATCCTCCAGCAGAAAAATGCCAACTCCAGGCACAATGGGCACATTTTTTCCCTCACTTTGCAAAACCTCCCTCAGTATTCAGCTCATTTAGAGAGTGAGAGTAGAGTTAAAATGAATAAAACAGTCATGGAACGCCATCCTAACAGGTAGAGGTTGTGTTTAAATGTCTCATTCACAGGTTTGACACCAAACAAGAACACAACACTCCAGCAGTAAACACTGTCACTGGTGTGTATTGAGCTCCTGGTCCTGGCCACACCCTTGGCAGGGCCGACTGAACACGTCGGACCAGTGATGACTCCCAGAGGGTGTGTCCTGCCTGGGTGAACCAGAGCAGTGTTCACCTCCTCCTCCTCCTCCTCCTCCACCTCTTCACCGGCTGGGAGGTTTGTTCCCAGCCTGCCTCAGTCCTCCTCCTCCTGGTTTCAGAGAAACACAAGACCAACAGCAGCAGCAGCAGCAGCAGAGCCCAAAGCGCCACTCAGGAGGGAAAGTGAATTATATTCCCAGCGGGTTTAAAGTGCTGGAAAACACTACGGAAACCCCGGTTTCACCTGGAGTACGACCTGTAGCCGGCTGGGATATTTGCGGGATCTCCTGTGAGCATGGGGGACGTGGTTTCCTCTCACCTGGATGAGGGCAGGCGGGAGATGATTACAGGTAAGAGGGAGGCAGTTTCCCACAGGCTGAAGTGTGTTTGAGCTGTTCTGAAAGTCACAGAGCAGTTTCTAGCAACTGTATTTCCTCTGATAGCCACGTTACTACAACATTACTACACAACTTGTGAAGCTTTGTTGTCCACATTGCAAGAATCCTCTCATTTATATCACTGCATTGTTGCTCTGCTCTGCTAGAAGAGTCCCTCTGATTCCCTGCAGGCTTATTTCTCAGAGATAATAAGTAGGTTTCCCCTTAAGAGCAGCATGTTTGTATAAGTTGGGGACAGGCTGCTATTTAAGTCTCAGATTGCCGTGAACAGTGCAGGTCTGTGCGATCAGTGCAGAGGCTCGAACTCTTCCAGCGAAGGAGTTTCATGATGCTTTCAAGGACCGAAACTGTCCAGGAAACGGGAAACGACTTGCTTTCTTTTTAACGTCTGTGTTTGCGGTCGGAGCTTCCAGACTTAATGCTTTCCAGAGGCTCGTTGTTCCAGAGGCTGTTCGGACTCCGCCGGGACGTTAATTCAGGATTGTAATTGTGTTCGTGTGCTGCCAGACGCACTCGCGTGAGGAAACCAGAGATTATGTCTCTGAGGTCCAGACACTCGTTAGGTTTGATGCTGAGGCTTTTTTTGGGAAGCAGACGGAGAAATATTCTCAGAAACTGCTGAAAAAATAGGAAAAACTGCCATAGAACGATCACTATGAAGCACAAATGTCAAATCTATCGACGTAAAAGTGAAGATTTGTTGCTTTGTCTCAGTTTTCAATCATTATAAATGTAATAATAAGTCATTAATATTAGTTTTTGGTCAGACAAAACAAATAATGTTAAAGTCATTCCAACATGGCTCTGGGACACTAATATTTTTCACACCTCTTTATCTCCATGTAACAGACTAAACCATTTAGAAAACAGTTTTAAATACATTTGCACTTCATTAGAATAACCACAATGACTTTGTCTGTATCTGATGCCCTTCTTACCAAAGCGAGGACAAAGTAAAGCAAGATATGCAGCACTTGAATGAAAGTTCACTCTTGGAACAAATGCATGACAAAATAAACTCCACCTATTTGCCTTTTTGGAGCCTTCAGCCACATGTCATGAGCTTCATTCTGGCTCAGGTAGCATCAGAGATACGATAAAGCGATTCTGCGATACATAAATCATCCACGATACATCACATATCTGTGTACAAAGAAGTAAAATACCACTAAAAAAAGGCAAAAAGCAGGAATGTGGTGTTCATTCACTGCATCGTGTTGCAAGTTTATGTGCCTATTATTCTACTTTAATTGCGTTTAATTGAATTAATTAGCTCTCTGGTGTACTTTCCTCTGCTGTCTACCACTTCTAATCCTCTAAGCTTCTTCTTTATTGCACGTTCATCAACTTACGTGCACTTTACTTTACAAGTTCCAGCATGAGTAGTCTTCAAGTATTGTTTCTGCTAACTTGAATTTTACATGGGAATTCCTTTAGTGCCAAAATGCTGAGACGTTGCACCAGTTAATCAACACTGTATTGCAATAAGAAGTGATGTATTTTAATCACGTGTCAGTTCAATTAATTAGCTTTGGGATGTACTTCCCGCCACTTTCACCCCTATAAGCTTCTTCTTTATTGCATTTTACTTCACTTTCGTTCATTTTACTTCAATTCATTTAATAGGTGCCACAAGAAGCGACTCTGCCAAGTCAAATAAACCAAGTAAATCCATTTCAGATGTCTTAAGTGATAAAATATTGGTATTTAGCAAAAGTAAATCAATAATGTATTGCAACATAATATATATTTAATAGTAGTTTATGATAAAATAAGTGTCTTATCAGCTACACTGCAATAGTAGATATTGTTACTATGGAAACATGGGAATAAAAACATGAACTTTCGCTTCAAGCCATTATTTTCTGCTAGAAAACCTTCAACAGTGCAACATTTGTCTTGCTTCCGGGTCCGCTGAGAAAAGGAAATTTGCGTGAAGAGATGAGTCAGAGAGAAGATAATGAAGCTTCTGAAGCGAAGCAGGTAGAAACATGTCACGGGGTTAATAACTAAAACTGCTGTCTGGCGCTCACACACCTTCCCTTTGAGTCGGATCTACCAGCGGCTCTCTGCAGACCTTCTCCGTCTGCTTTACATGTACGTGAGCATGTACGAGCCACTAGAACGTCCTTTAAAGTACTTATTTGTAGCACACGTTAACATCAGCGTCCGGTTTGTGTGACAACCCGTCAGCGTTTCTGCATCAGGAGTCTTGTTTAAGTGCGTAACTCCCCAACAAGGTGATTACTCCATCCTCGCTGTCTAAGCATGTTCCCATAAAACCGTCTCCTCCCTCGTAAGCCGTAACATAACAGACGGGCAATGTGCAGTATGTGCAGCCAACACTGCGACGCACACGCAAACCACAACTGTGAGTTCAAGTATACAATCTTTTTTTTTTTTTTTAAATGTTGCTATAGAGAGTAAAGACATAGCTGCTTGTTTGTCTATAGAGTAGAGTTTAAACAGCAGAGAGACAACATGAGGGTTTACATTAGTCTTGTCTTGCACATTTCCAAATAAATAAATAGACAAATTAGCGCCTAATCACATTCGGATTAAGATCTCTATCTCGTTATTACTTAGGTTGTTGGACCTTTTTCAAAAATTCTGCTGTTTTTTAAAGAGTTGTTCTTCTTATAATGTCTTATTGTTGTTGCACAGCCTTGAGAGAAGTCGCTTCCACAGACTGTAACGAACATCTGACAAAAACTCTTGAATCTCTTGAATCTTGGATGAATGTAATGGAACAAGCTTTACATTTTTGGTTAGTAAATGACTGCCACAACAGCTATATAAAAAAGCTTTAAAGTTAAATTTTGTGCAGATATTCATGGTCCCCAAAGGATAAAACCAACGCTGGTTCAACATCACACCTGCTAAATATCATCATGTTAGCATTTAGCTCACAACCTGCAGCCTCACAGTGCCTCTAGTGTGGCTGCTGTTGATAACACAGACCCTGACCAGGCAGATTTGACCAACACTGCACCAAAAGAGATTAAAAACTAACATCTTTGCAGTCTTTTAAGTTGACCATTGCTACATCTGCAACACCACAGGAGGACATCAATATCCAAATCAGTGATCCTTGACTACGAAACCTTCCTTTATCTCCTTCACAACAAACTGACCTCAAACCGATTCATTAGTTCCTTTCACTCAGGAAGAATCCCACCTATGGCACATTTAGTTTTAACTTATCCATTACTACTCTAAGCTGCTGTAAATGTGCCTTTCAACACTCTTCAGATGTTCTGTCCTCAAATCAAATCACAATCTCTGCTCCATGACTTCCACTTCTATAGATGTCCCTCAGTGTTTGAAACTGATGTCATTCAACCACAATCAAACATTCTCTGCTGGTGTCATCGTCACCGTCGCTCATTTTCAGACAGTGAATCATGGATTAGAAGTGACGGCACTTTTATCATCATTGTGGTAACCAAGAATATGGAGGAGAAGGCTGCTGATGACACGGTTAATGTTACGAAAGGATCTATTGCAACCTAAACCACAAACTTAACCAAAGCACAAAAAAACCTGAATCATAAGCGATCGATGTCGAGAAAATCACAGACCAACACGGGACACAAACCAGAGTATCCTCAGTCTATGTTGAATATTTGAACTGGAAGACTTTTTTCGCTCTTTACAATACCTGAACCACCAACATAGAGAACGATGCCAAAGAGGTACCAAATGCATTCAAAATGTACTCTAAATGGTTGAGTCCAAGCATCCATATGTGACACTTTGGGAGTATGTGTTGACTTCTGCCTCCGTTCTCCCATGTGTGGATTAAGTTTTGTGCTCTGGGATCTAGTTACATCTATTTTTTATAGATATATTTTCTTAAATAACTGCTCGATATTCAGCTATTAATTACTTCAAAGACATGGATTAAGTGAAAGTATGCAACAAATGCTGACATGAATGTGTGATTGAGTTAATGGCAGGTAATAAAAAGTCAGCAATTTAAGCTATTTGTGAGTCAGTCAATAGAAGGGTAAAAGAAAATATCAAAGAAGTGATGGCGAGGATGGAGGTATAGAAGAAAAACTGTCTGGCAAGTCTATACAAGCTGAAACAGAGGAATAAGTGCTTTATGATGTGGTCTCTCTTTTTTTCCCCCCAATTCCAATTTCCAAGTGCTGAAAGGTCCATGTCCATTTACAGCTTCCCAGAATGCTGACTTTGGCTCAGCAACCAGTGGAAAGTACCAACTCTGAGGATATTAGGAGGAGAGGCCAAATTAACCAGAACTGTATCTGGTGGAAATTTACACAAGACAAGGAGAGTTTCTATCCAAAATCAGACATCCAGATTGTTTTTTAAACTGCTCCAAAGCCAGAAAGCAAACAAAAGATTTGAACGCCGCATTAAGAGCTCTGGATAAATGCAGTGTGTCAGCCTCACGGAGATCAGAAGTCTGTCTGATGAACCCAAAGGGGACAAAAATAAGCTTCCAGGAAAGAGATGCAAAAGAAAAGATGGCATGCAAATTTTGGAACAAATACAAGTCCAGATCTGGACACCCAAAGCCAACCTGTGAAGCCTTACAGTTTGCTTGAGCTGATTCAGCAGCTTCAATCCTCCAACCAGGCCTCCCAGCTCATCCGGGAGTGACCCGGTGTTTTTAATAATGTCCTCCGTCTCCTCCACATTCTCCCGTCCTCCGTCCATCCTGTCCTGTCAGCTCTTTCCTTCCTGCTCTCCCTCTGCAGGCCGGCTTCCCTCCTTCCTGTGTTGTTCCTTCCATAAACAGATCATAGTCGACGCTGTCTGCTGCCGACCGAGTCAAACGCACCGACTCTTTTCCAAAAACTGGAACGTGGGAAAAGCTCTGGCAGGTTCTTGGGTTATCAATTAGGAGCTGGAAGTCACAGAGAGACTCATGATAACAACTGTTTAATACAGCGATTCTGTGATACTCGGTAGATTATTGAGACTACAAGACAACTGAAGGAGAAAATATAACCCTTAAAGCCACTATGTGTACGTTTATTAGCATTATTTATTGATTTGATTAATGTATTAGCTCACTGATTCTGTGATCAGTCAAATTAATTGGCTCTAATTGGAAGTCCCTGCATGTTTTAGTAAAAATATCTGGCACCAGTGAGCTGCCAATATGTTGCTGTATTAACATCTTTTCTCATTCCTACTATTTAAGGTGCTGATTGCAGACAGTGTTACCTTCAAAACGGAACAGCAGCTAACAGTTATTTACGTTGCTTTGTCTGAAAACAGTGATTATTAGAACTAGTGATGGTGTCTTTAAGGTCTTATTCAGTTCATGGGAAAAGAAACTCAGTTGTAATCTCTTATTATTTATGGGGCTCAATCATGAACTTGCATGTTTACCAATTTTTTGCAAAACAAAATGATTATGGGTCATTTCATCACTAACCATCACATTTTTAATGACATTTCTGTTTTAATTGTAGCATAAAATCTGGATATTTAGAAAGATATCTGTGAGATTTCCCAATGATTTATCAAATATCTCATGAGATTTGTTTTTAAAAAGCTGTCCATCAACCCCTAGGATCATTTTCTTTTGCACATCGAAATTCAAGGCTGTTTTAATGACAATATCTCAGGAACTGTTTAAGATAAAAGACTTCAATTTCCACCGTTATTTCTCATCGTGAGTTAAAATACGGGGTAAAAAAATTAGAAGCCATTATGAAAAGTTCCATTTTTGAGGTCAACTAGTGATATTTTCTAAAGCAAATGTAGCTGCATTTCACAATAATACAAACACAAACCATCTAGAATGATTTTTGAAATAAAAAATCACAAACATTGAAAAACTGATTATGTAGGTATCACAAGTTGTACCACAAAAACCAATACACTGCTAGTTAACCTAACCCAAACATAACAGAGCCCTGGAGATTTTAAATGGTCCAATATTACAGATTCTGAATCAATACCATGATGAGCAATAACAGTGAAAACTTCAGGCTTTTATCTTCAATAGTTCCTGAGATATTGTCGTTCAAACAGCTTCAAATTCAAATGTGCAAGAAACACAGCAAAAGTGGGTCAACGGGCAATTTTTCGGAAAGTATTTGATCCATCGAGCTAAAATTTCACCGACACCATTTTAACTCGCCATAGTTTATGATGAAACTGTTTAAGGTGAATCAGATGGTCGAGCAGGAGGAGGAGGAGAAGGAGCAGGAGGCCCCTGATGATCTGAGATGGAACAACTTTGAAGTTGACCACAGCTTCCAGCTCAGCACATGTGTTACTTACGTAAGAAGGGTCAAAAATAGAGACGTCAGCCCCTTATGAGGAATGAAGTTCCTCATAGGGTCTGAGGAAGCTCTTTTTCTCAGCATATGGAATGTAGACTCGGAGTTCCCCGATAAGGTCAAGAAGAGGTCGAACTTTTATCACAAACGAGCCAACGGAAGGAGAGTTTTGTGTTCTCCGTCGCGCTGTAAATAAGCTGTCACGCTTTGAGAGAGACGCTGGACAGACTCTGTCTTTCTGCAAAGGATTCAAATTTACAAGCAAGTGAGCAAAATGTTGGCTTTGTTTTTTTAAGGTCAGAAGAGTCCCAGTCCCTGAGCTACAAATTAGGCGTATAATCATGTCTGTTGGGTGAAATGAAACGATAGAAGCTATGAAACAAGGAAGTGTTAGATTTGAATATTACACAGTTTATATGTAACAGACTCAACAAGGAGCTGCAACAAGATAAAAAATGACAGTTAATCAAAAGTTTTGCAACCAAAATTCCCTCCGAACCTTTTTCAAGCACCAAAATACATTAAATGAAGCTCGACTACAGTTCAACTATTTCCATTTTACTAGAGAAGCATTACAAAGGCCTCCCTGTGCTGAGTGCTGCACCAGCATCACTATCGCAAACGTGCATTCTAATTTTTATTATATGGAAGTTTTCCTAACGAGCTGATAGCAGATTATCAGCTCAGAGTGACGGCAGGTCTTCACACGAGAAGCACAGCTCTGCATCCACATCCAGTTAATATTTGACTAATTATTATGTAACTAACTTATAAACTGCTTGATTTGTTGTCATCAGATTGTTGTTGGAACTAAAACGTTCCTCATCTTCTTTGTTTCACTTTAAAAGGTCTAACCGTCTTCCCTCTGCTCTGTATTTCACGAAATGTGATCCAGTAATACGATACGGCTCATGTCAACCTTACAGTAGCTGAAGTTTCCTGATTTCTTGTGTCTCTTTTATTTCTCCCGCAGCCCGGACCAGGGAAGTGATGAAAGAGTTCGGCGACGTGTACGAGCAGCAGTACGCCGTCGCTCTGTTCAACAGCGTTCGCTTCGAGATCGAGGGAGGAGGAGGAAAGCAGTCGCAGCTGCTTCACAGAAAGGTGAGTTCATTGTGTCGGTTTCAAAAAGAGACGTTCAACACTTGCACAATGAAAGTATGCGGCAGCCACCACCTAAGACTGGATTTCAGCTTCGTGTTTTGTCACTACGATGTCCTCCTGCCACGTGGAACAGATAATTAAAGGAGTCTATCACAGCTTGGGTCATACTTTGGGGGGTTTGGGCATCATTTATAGAATATCAGTTAACATGGTGAGTAATTGGTGAGAAACAGGAACATCACTGACAAAAACACAATAAAATAATGAGGTTTTCAATAAACAACAAACTTCATTTGGAAGTAAAACTGATGTGTTAGGATTATTTTCACTTTGGGAAACCACAACATAGAGAGTTTTGACTGTTCATAAACAGTCTAACCATCTTTCTACTCAGATTTCTTGACCCGTATGACTTTATTTTAGCACCATCATTGGTAAAAGCGGAAATATGAAAACAAAAACCAAAGTTGTTATAAACTTCAGTTCTCCAAAAATATTAATTTCGGCTGTGAGGGATGAAACTTCTTATGCTGGAATCTGAATTCTCCTCTGATGTCATTTGCAAATTAAGAAGTTAGGTTTCACCGATGTAAATCTTCTACTCTCTCCAGCATACTTTCTGCCATGTTTGAACATTTCTTGCATCTGAGGCCACTGTTATTTTTCAACCAATCGATTTTCAAACCGTGAACCTTCATGAATGTGGCCTTTGTTGGGCTCGATGTTCCACACAATGCGTGACTGAGGCCATCCTCGGCATACCAGGACTTTAACGAATGAGCGAGTCCTCTGCTTTACCTCTCAGCGGTTCCCGTGCTCCTCTCATCCTTTTGGCATCCGAACGCACTGAGGGTCACACTTTTTGTCCACTGGAGGGAAAGTGGAGCACGTTTCACACATGAGCAGAGCTGCCGTTTCTGCTACGACGGCTCGTCTGCTCCGGTCACCATGTGCAGGACAGATGCTCGCGTGTGCTCTGGACACAAATCTAGAAGTTATTTATATGTGAGGCGACACTGCAAACACACAAGAAACAGACTTTTTTCCAAATGTTTAGTTTGATGATTAAAATACTGGAGTAAATGTGCGACTGGATGAAATTCTGTCATCAGTGCTGTTTGTGCAATCAGCAAGATCACACCAAAACCACAGAGCCGAATGTCATGAAAGTTGGTGGAGAGGCGGAGCACAGGCGGAGGAAACACTCACTGAATGATTGGTACCAGTCTGGACCACTTTTGTTAAAATCGCGATGTAGGACATTGACCTTAGTAAGCTGATGAAATGATCAGTGTGTCCTCATGGCAGAAAACCAAACATTTGGGTGCATAAGTACACAAAATTAAACTGATTAAATTGATTACATCCTTGTAAACTAAAAGGAAACTTGGAGAGTGAATCCGTCATCAAGGTCAATGTTCGGCCTTGTAAAATAAATCTGGTCTGGATCTGCACCAACATTTAATGGTTTCTTCGTGTGCCAATGTTCCTCCTCTCCACGAAGTTACAAGAGATTTGACGGACAGACAAACAAACAGCATTTATTATATGTGTTCATTTTTTTGTGAAAACAAAAGACACCAAAAACAATCCGTCCCAGGTACTGGCCGGTATGGTTCTTTATATTAACTGATTACCAAAAAAAAAAAAGGAATGAAATGCATTAGTTTAGCTCTGATGTAGCCGCCTCTCTCCAACAACCCACAGCTCCATCTGATATACGTACAACTTACAAATAAGCCAATCAACAATGAAAGCTACCGTTTACAGACAGGGACGGACAAGTGCATTCAGCAGCTCCGGTGAAGGTGAGCTCGTGGATGTTGCTGAACTTGTAATAAATATCACACAAGCAAGCCCAGTTTCCCTGCTACTGGAACCTACTGTGCTAATGGTGCTAGGCTAACGCTGTCACTAAAAGGCTAGCTGTTACCATAAACTACTACTGTAACATCTTTTGAAAGTGATATCAAGTTCAGCAATCTGCTCTGACTGACAGATAGAAACTGAACAAGAAGCAAAGCCAGTGCTACAAATCAGGATATCACAGTGGCTGATGCTATGCTAACAGCTAGCGGCTAAGTTAGAAGGCCGCTACAGATCACACCAAAAACAAAAACGAAAAATGCTTTAAGATCTGGGCCTTGGTGGGCAATAAAAGATTAAGATTATCAAAAAAATCAAAAATTAACAAAACAGCAGAACAGTAAATGTAACTGCAGGAGACTGTTATTGATCTCAATCAATCAATCTCAGTGTGAGCAGAGGAGAACGTTGTAGCACCACATGACGCTCTGACAGCATCACTTCTGTTGCTATTGTACAATCATTAATGAAATAATGTATTTATGAATGACTAGTTCCCTGCCATGACACGGTGCAATGTACAGTATGTTGGTCCTAAATATTGCTAATTAGTCATTCTTGACTACAACTACCGGCACGAGCCCTGAAAAACAAATAAACCAAATACAAGAGAACACCAAAAACACGAGTCGATCCTTAATCTGTATCATTAGCCTGCAGTGTTATCATGTTGCTCTACTCAGACATACACTAAGGCCCTCGGAAGGCTTTCAAGCACCCAAAATAATTTCACATTTTGCAGCAAACAAACAAACATCCAGTCTGTGTTTTGATAAAAGCATCTGTATGTTCCAGCTCCACTACTCTACTCTCTCTCTCCCTCTTGTTCTGTTCTTCCTTTCTGAGCAGCAACTATTTTATCCAAGACAGGAAATCTGAAAACAAAGTGGGTGGTGTGTATCCTTGTGTAAACACTTTGGGGTAAAAGAAAAAAAACAAAAACAAAAAAACCCTTCCCCCCTGCATGTTTGGAAATACCCACCAAGTCTGTTGCATAGTTAAGAGAGAAATGTTTGTGAGGGTAATAAAACCCAAATGGCTCATTAATATCAAATGCACGCAACTATTGTTCCTTTGTACCACAAGGTGCACAAACACAATAACACTAACATGAATCTTGAATGTTTGTGCGATTTTTTTCCAGGACCCTCTGGCAGGTCGGTCCATCTTCTCAGGGAATCTGTTTCAGTACCTGGAGGAGAATCGGAAGTGGAGGAATCGCTTCGTGTCGGTGCCAAACAGCTACAACATCGACCTCTTTGAGAGCAAAACAGTGAGTAAATCCTCGCTGGATTAAACTGCTCTCTGATTTGACAGTTTGGACCCATATTAAAACTGCTCTGCCATCTTTTTTGAACAGGCACATGAACGAGGGCTGCATCCTAAAGTAACCATCAACTGTGCCGGGTACAAGGCCTTGGCTTCAATGGAGGAGTACTTGGAGCTGATTAATAACAGCCTGCCAGGTCAGGAAACACAGTGCAAGTAATATATACTGTAAAAATGATGATATGTGACTAAACATGGCTGAAAATGGTTCATCTTTGGTACACCACAGTCTGTCTGCTCTGACCTTTTGGCTGCGCATTCATCTATTGTTTTAAAAAACTGTCCTGAAATTATTGTTATTGAAGTTATTGTTGTTGAAAACGGTCATTGTTTTGTCTCGGTTTCATCTGATTCATTGCAAATCAAAGGGGCACATTTTACCCAATTAAACCCTGATTAGAGTATTTGAAGTGTGAGAAATAGCAGTTTAACTTTGTCTCATCATACACAACTAATCTGCATTCTCATTTACATTTTGACAGAAAACTATTTTCTCAAATACCTCAGAGAACGAAACATATCCAGTTTCAAAGTGTCATAAAGTCTGCGACAAAAGGTTGGAGGGCTTTCACCCTCGGGACTCGGGTTTGAGTCCCGAGGCCAATATTTGTCTGAGAAAATGGCACAGTTGGGGTTGAAATACGACCTTTTCATTATACATTTTAAGCTTCTCTTCCACTTTGACCGGGTTTCCAACCCGTCTAATACATGACTGGTGGGCTGAAAAGGAATGACAGCAAATAAATACGATAAATTGCAAAGATATGTTAATGAGAAACGTATTCACAAACAGACGTAATCCGGGAGAAAATATGTTTCCCTCCATATATAATTAGGAATGCAGATTAGTTGCGTAACACTCACATGGTATGATAGACCCATGTTCATATGAGTAGTATATATTTTCCCTATTGTCTGTCTTTTAAAAGCTAGTTTCTCATGTGACTTGTAGGAATCAAGGCCAAAGTGGGCAACAATCCGTTCATTAAGTGTGCGACCCAGTTCCCCCTGATCCTCTGGCATCCGTACGCCCGCCACCACTACTTCTGCGTGATGACTGAGAAGGAGCATAAGAAGTGGCATGCTGTGCTGCAGGACTGTGTCAGACACAGCAACAATGGTAAGAATGCACGCAAACACAACGAAGTAAACAAATCTTTTACAGGAGTAGAAGCATACAGTGCCTGTAAAAAAGTAGTCACGCTCCTTGTTGGCTTTTCAATGTTGCACCACGGTCAATTTAATTTGGCTTTTGTGACGAGAATGTACAAACAAAAAACAACTCTTTCATGTACAAGTGAAACCAGATTTCAATTAACTCAAAACATAAAAAGGTAAAAGATGTGGCTGTGTAGGTATTCAGCACTGTTAAGCAAATATTTAGTAGATGCACCTTTGGCCACAGCGACAGCATTGATCCTGTGTGGATAGATCTCAATCAGCCTTCCACATCTGGACGCTGAGATTTTACCCCAATCTTCTTTGCAAAACTGTAAAGATACACAGGGATCATGAGTGAACAGCCTTTTCAAAGACCAGCCACAAATTCTCAACTGGACTGAAGTCTGGGCTCTGACCCGGCCTCCAGAACATTCACCTTGTAGTCATAAAACCATTTCTGTGAAGCTTCGGCTGTTCGCCTCAGGTCATCGTCTTGCTGGAAAACAAATCTTTCAAGTTGCCGCTCTCTTGCGTCAGGTTGACCTCCAGGATTTTTCTATATTTTGCTGCTTTCATTTTACCCTCAACCTTCACAAGCCTTCCAGGACCTGCTGTCAAGAAGCATCCCCACATAATGATGCTGCCACCACCGTGCTTCACAGTGGGGATGGTGTGTTTGTGATGATGTTTGGTATCTTGTCTAATGGCCAAAAAGCTAAATTCTGGTCTCATCAGACTAAAGAACCTTCTTTCAGTTGACTTCACAGTTTCCCACAGGGCCTCTGATGAACTTCTATCGTCTACATTTTCCACCAATGACTTTCTCTTTGTCACCATAAAGGTCTGACTGGTGATGAACAGTTGCTGTATCCATCTCAGTCACTGAAGCTTGTAACTCCTTCAGAGGAGTCATGGGCGTCTTGGTGGCCTCCCTCATTAGTGTCCATCTTGCACAACCACCCAGTTTCTGAGGGCGGCATGCTCTAGATAGCTCATGTGCTATATTCCTTTTATATTTTAATGATGGATTTAACTGTAATCCAGTGACGTGAACATTTCCTGGTATCCATCCCCTGACGAATGCAATTCAACTTTTGTCTTCATGATGTAGTTACACGCAGGAGAACTGATTCACCAGCGACTGGATCCTCCAGATTTAAGTGTCTTTAAACTACAGTCACTTACACTTATATAATCTCCATTTCACTAATTGTGCAATTTCTTGCCCCAATTGGCTGCACCTGTGTTGAATTAGTCCCTTTACAGGAGGTGAATACTTAAGCAGTTACTCATATTTTAAACTAATTGACACATTTGTTTTCCCTCTGACATGAAAGAATCTTTTCTTGATCATTTCTGGTCAAAAAAAATTAATAACAATGCAGTTAAATGGAAAAAACTTCCAAGAGGGGGGGCGAATACTTTTTTTAGTCAGTGTACATTAAGGAAGCAGTGGCAGTGTGGCGCTAATGGGAATATTAACTGAACAATGTGAGGGAATCAAACCGATAAACTGAGCTGTCGGGAGCTGAAGGTAACCCTTGTGAACAGCAGCACAGTCTGTCTCTCTGAGCTCCACCCCAGACAATTAGAGCCTCTCTTTCCTCTGTACCTTTTGTTGGCGGTTCAGATGAGGGTGTGTGTTACTGTGCGAAGCGTTCACATGCCATCCGAGTGAGCTGGACGATCTGCCAAATGTGAGATGCTTGCAGGAATGCGGTGTATTTGTTGTTTTGTCAAAGTTCGCTCTCGGTTACAGGGCGACACGTTGTTGTCGTTGGATCGGAGCTGCACATGTCGCATATTTTACAGTCCAGACGGATGATGTGCATCACTGAAATAGTTGACGGGAGACTGTATTTACCTCAGACGGCTTCCAATCTGAGACAGGCGACTATTACAGGCGTGCTTTTTTATTACAATTTCCCCTGTTCAACCATATATTTTGGCGGTTTGAGTGCACATTATCACATAGTAAACATACCGTCTAGTGCTGAAGCCATTAGCCAATAAGTCTATCAACAGGAAATTAACATTTTCTGCTTTTAGCTTCTATCCTGTGACAACTTGCTGCTTTTTAATATTTCAAATAACTGCAAAGTGAATCAGTTGGTTTGGATAAAACATGGATTTTGAAGTCACCACTTTGAGCTCAGGGATTTATTGCATTTTAAGCCAAATATTTAATCAAACCAGCCGATTAGTCTAATGTATTTGAGCCCTGATTCCTTCACTTTCTTTAACATTTGACATACTTGCAGTACGATTTCCAAACATCATGACAGAACTTGACTTTGTCACTGAATGAATCAGAGTGACGTCAACTGAAACTGAACGCTTTTGTCTTTTTGGGATCACTTCCATCTTCCTTTATGAACAAGTTGTTTTTTTTGTTTTTTTATAACAGCTTTTGTTTGACCACTACATTATGACTTGAGTATTTGTGAATTGAGTGTTCTGTCGGTGCTTTTTCATTTGATTCCACATTAAAAGCTGTTTGTTTAATGAGGGTGGAGAACTACTCTTGATCTCCTATTAAGGCTTCTTCTTGTCCTGTCGTGATTCATGCGTCATTGTTTGGAGACACAGAAGCCAAAGACATGAAGGAAACATCATGTAATCCATTTTTCTGGTGTGTTGTCATACTGCACCTTTTTACTAAACTCTGAGTGACATCTTTGCTCTTTGTGTAGAAGGAAAACAGTCGTCTAACTAACTGGCCTGCTTCCAGACATGCTAATTATACGCCACGTTTTAATTGAAAGGTGTGATTAAATTCAAATTCTGCAGTACGACGTAAGGAGGGAGGAGAGTCACGTGATAGTTTTGTGGTATTTTCGCACGTGCATGATGTCACGTTCGGTGTGCTTTACTTGACAGTCAGAATGTGCAGGAACCGTGGGGAAGTTGTAATAAAAATACGAAGCGGCAAAGATTCAGGGATAGAGAATTAGCTGCTGCTGAAGTGAACATGATCCGGCTTGTTTGGATCCTGTTGGCGGCGAAGGCAGGTGGTGTTGACAGAGAGTTCAGATCAAGCGCAGATTATTTGTACAGATTCTCAAACACTTCATGAATCATGACGAACAAAGACGTTTCCATTTCTGGAACAGTTCATGACAGTTTTGCAGGTAAAGAAAAACACGACTCTGAATCTAAGATATGCATAATTACACAATATTTAAACTACATCTACTGTATTTTGTTGCATTTAACACAGACAGTATTCTAATCCCATCTATTAACTGCATCCTGTTGAAAAAACAAAGTGCTGCCATTCACATTATTTGGTGCGTGGCAGATCTGATCCACAAAGACTTTAGATTTTCCATTAGCTGTCGGGCAGTCGTCATCAATTTCGGAAACAAAAAAGCTGCATATTATTTCTAGATTAACTAAATAAATCAAAGCAGACTGAGCACACTCTACCTGCAAGCCTTATTAGCCTAAATTAATGAGAAATAAACATAAAGTTGATGTTAAACCATTCAAATCTGGTTGTTGTATACTGATTTTTTTTTTTTACCACTTCCTTACATCCTTTATCCTCCACTACCCTAACGGGGTTCGTGTCTTGAGCAATAAATTTGGCAGCTTCCATCGTGCTATAATTTTTCTGTTTTGGCGAGAATGGTACGCCACTTCTGATATGGTCACAGTCACAATCTCAAGAGGTAAACAACCGTAATGCAGTGTACCGTTTACAGATAAACTGCTGTGTCGTTCGCTGAGCTGCGATTTGAAAACTGCTGTTTGGACAAAATGCAGCCACACGGGCGACATCTGCGACAGTCAGTTTGGAGCCGACTCCAAGTGAAGAGTCAGTACATTTTAAATAAGTTCGAGCTTGTGGTCTTCTTTAGGATGGGTCAGTCCAGCTTTGTGGAAATGTGGGGGTGTTTATGGGTGTTCTGTTATTCTCACCACCACAAATAATGGATAAATGCTGGTAGGGAGTTGATGTAGAGCCTTCTTCCCTCCCACCAATTAGGCAAACCACAGACTATGGACCAATATTTATCATTTTTTAGATTACTGAAATTACTTTGGTTGTAAAGCAGCTGCCTCCCTGTATCTGTGCTATCTGATAGATCACATGTATCTAAAGTTCTCAAACAAAGACATTTGAACTGAATTTTGTTTGTTTTATACTAAATGTTGACACTAATATTTCCATGCAAGTGGTCCGAATAGCTGTCTCCTTAAATTACTATAAATCAGAATTGATATCAGCCCAGAAGAAAAATATTTTTCGACCCCTACCTTCCAACCTGACCCTAATTTGAATCTTTTTTTACTGTACTACCTCTCGTCTGTATGGCTCTTTGTGTTGTTTGACCTCTTAAGCTTCAACAGTGTTCCTCACATGAGAGCTGATGTGTGCCAAAATTACCTATAATTACACCTTAACTGAGTTTTAAGGTGGATTATCGTGCACACTGCAATCAACAAGCTGCATTAAATCCCTCAGCAGCTACAGAAAGATGCAATTCAACTGTGCACTGAAGTAAAAATAAAAAAAACGTCTGCAAGCTAGAGCCCAGATGATCCTGCGTAAAGAACAATACAGCTAAACTTCCAACCATGCATTGAATGAAACACTATGAGCTCATCATTAGGCACACAAAGTTGCTCAACCTGATTCGCCTTTTGTTTTGCACTTTGCCAGCTAGCATGCCAACCAAACTGTTTTGCATGAACTCAGGCGTTCTGCTTAAACCACGCAGCCTGCCGAGCATCAGTTGTGGGTAGAGAAGAGTCACCCAAAACCCAAAACCTGCCAGTAGCTCGGGATGAAACAACAATCAGAAGCCACATCCCAGCTTATTTGAGTGTCAAATAAAATCAGCCTCTCTTTGCATGTAGTCTCGCAGTCCTCCCAAACACTACCTGTCTGGGCATGCTCAGTAAAAGGTCTCTGCTGTACATTCCAGCTGTGAGGTTGGGCTGCAGGAGTAT